TTTTTTTTTTGGCAATGAAAACAAAGTCAAACGAAAATCAAATATCCAAAATTTTAATATTTTCCAGGTAGAAAATTATATCAATCAAATACAATTAATTGACAATTCCCAGGAAAACAATTATAGGCAATTCAATTCCATGTAATTCATTTTCTTTTTACCCAAATTCCACTCTTGCAATCAAACGGACCCTTATTTTCAGGGGTTTATATTTCTCTCATATTTATATCAAGAAGGTAAATGGAGGATCAAATGTTACTTTTACAACACTTATAAAATATTTCATAATAACGTGCAATGCATATTCAACTTGACTAGTTAATACAAAGGGGGGAGTAACCTTTTTTTTTATCTCGAAAGGCCCTAAAGATCTCGAGATGACCTCCTAGGGCCACTAAGAAAGCTCATGCAATGGCAAATTTAGTGCTTTAGCGTAGAAATAAGATTTAAGGGATTTGGTGTAGTTAAAAACCATATTTTAGTAGATAATAAAAAAGATGATGAAATGTGCGGCTAAATGGTTGATTAGAGTTGTGGATGATATGAAATATATAATTAAAATTAATTGTCTACTTTGAATTAGATATTTAACGATTTTTTAAGCTACACCAAACATGCCTAAATTTTAGTATTGAGAATGACTTACCATGCCATTAGTGGCGAATTTGAGGAGAAGGCATGCAACAGTGGAACCTAGCAATTGGGCAATCCAATAGAAAAGGCCAGTTATGATAGTGATGTTGCCTCCAATGGCCAATCCGAGTGTGACGGCGGGATTCAGATGACCACCGGATACGTTGGCTGCCATGGAAACGCCCACGAACAATGCAAATGCGTGAGCCAACGCTACTGCCACCAAACCGGGTGGGTTGAGAGCTGCATCGAACGTGAGCTTATCTGCACAAATTCAATTGGACAATATATTTTAGCTCACAAAAAGCCTAAAAAAGTTGTCCAATAAATTTAAAATCGACTAATGTCATAAAATCTAATAACGTTCTTAACCGAACACGACCCTCATTCTATATATGGACTTCATATGATCTCATAAATTTCTTAACCTAACACGGCGCGCCCTCATTCTATATCTAGGGTCGGGACTGACAGTAAAAAGTACACATGGAATCGTTACAGAAAATATGACTTACTGTAAGCTATAGCAGAACCAACACCAGCAAAGACAAAGAGGAGGGTGGCAATGAACTCAGCAAGATAAGCCTTTAGCGACGGAACTGAAAAAGAGTCACCAATGCTACCAAATGCAATCTTCACCATTTTTGGTCAACTAAGAAGTCAAAATAACCTATAAGCTAAGGAGCCAAATTAATCTCACAAAAAATTCTAGCCAAGTACTGAGTAATTCATAGCATGCATGGTTTATATAATGGGCAGTAGAATTAGGTTTTTGGGACCAGTGGCCAACTTGGAGTTGATT